AGTAACGCTTTAAAATGAAATTTCGTCAATAGTCGCGCTTTAAAATGACATTTCGTCAACAGTAACGCTTTAAAATGAAATTTCGTCAATAGTCGCGCTTTAAAATGAAATTTCGTCAACAGTAACGCTTTAAAATGAAATTTCGTCAACAGTAACGCTTTAAAATGAAATTTCGTCAATAGTCGCGCTTTAAAATGACATTTCGTCAACAGTAACGCTTTAAAATGAAATTACGTCATCAGTAACGCTTTAAAAGGAAATTTCGTCAACTCTTACGGTTTTAAACGGAATTTCATCAACATTAACACTTCCAAATTGATCTATATATTTTTTTTATTTGTTCGTTTGATACTCTTTGAAATTGTGTTGAAAGTTACAGGTTGAATTGATGCTGATTTGAAAGAATATCTGAGCTAAAAACAGCGTTCCCGTGGGGCTATTAGCGGTCAATGCTTGTTTAACGGATAGATGGACAACATGCTCTCATACTGCGCACCGCTTTTTCTTGGATTTATGAAAACACTATCCAGTACAGCAAAAAAGTGACTTTGTGCCTTTTTCAGAAATAACATTTTAACGCCATTTTTTAAAAAAAGTATTTATTAAAATGGCACACAAGTGCAAAAGCGAAAATACGATTCCAAATATATCTCCCTTTGCAATATCAATTCCCTTTTGACATATTTTGTGTATCTTTTTTTACTTTGATATTTTTTTGTCAAAATAATGCAATAATATGATAAACAATAATGAATATAATGATAGATAATGATAATTGATATGTTATGCCTGGGCGTAGGATAGGATAGTACAGGATATCACTTGCATTGAAATGTACCATGATATGCCTTGCTTTTTATGTATCAAAAACTGGTGCGGATTATCTGGGGAATATGTATCAAAGACACCAAAAGGTATCCATTCATATCTCGTCTTTCATTCTACGTTTTATATAGGCGGGAATTCCCCAGGGATGGATTATGGAACTGCTTTTATTCTCACTACATAGAGATGATACTACAAATCTATCGACTCAGAAACAGTAATAATTTTAAGATTTCACTTTTAAACTTTTAACAACATTTTCTTCCCATTTTACTGTCAACACCCCACGTGAATATTAATTTAGAGAAAACTGCGATGTCCTTGCCGTCCCTAAATCGCTTCCAGTCTTCATTGGTCTCTAAACTTCACACCTATTTGAATTTTGTTGGAGAAACTGAGTATTCCACACATAAGGCTTATTCCGTCTTTTTGTATTGCAGAGTTATCTGCTCTTGTGAGCAGGTATTGATTATTACGCCATTGGTTTGTGAGAGTAACGTCATACATTTTTGAGAAAACGACGTAATTTTCTCACACAGACTAATGACGTAACAATCAATACCTTCTCACAAGAGCAGATAACTCTGCAATACGCAAAGACGGAATACAAATCGATGTAGTCCTTTGCACTATGATCTAGATCAAGTCGGACTAGAATCGTTGACAGCACAGATTGCAGCCATTTGGCTTGTTTGGTTTGTTTGGTTTGTTTGGTTTGTTTGGCTTGTTTGGTTTGTTTGGTTTGTTTGGCTTGTTTGGTTTGTTTGGTTTGTTTGGCTTGTTTGGTTTGTTTGGCTTGTTTGGTTTGTTTGTGTGTATACGCCCTTTTTACAGTTATGGTCATATAAGGACATGCCAGGTTTAGGTGTAGGAGAAAAGTCGGAGTACTCGGAGAAAACCATCGACATGCAGCCAGTACCTGGCTACTGCTAAACACTCGACCACCGTTGGAAATCCATGCAAAAAGACCTATCACTTATGCTATGAATGCCCGCTTAAGAATTTAAAAGGAATATATGTTTCCAAAAATAACAATATTAAGTTCAAAATTATTTAAATGTACTATTTCTTACGCTCAGAGAGGTTGCATAAATATAAGACAAAGGTGTAGATAAGTTGAGATATCTTGTACCTATTTCTTTGTACATGGTCGGTTATATATCTATGTTTATTATACTACATATTTATACATATGTATATAAGATGGTTAGGACGACATATTTTAGAAGGGTACTGAACAACATATCCATTTAAAGAAAGACACGAATCACCAAAATAGTTATCAATCATTCAGACATTAAATTAACCCACCATCAATCAAACTAACAAAAAGGGCACCAACAGTTCAATAAACTTGATATAAAAAAACAGTACTTACAATAACAATAATCCGCAGTTCCAAAGTTTTGAAAGCGTCGCTATTTCTGTCCTCAATGTTTATAGAAATAGCGATCACAATGTTAAATCGGATCGAGCACCGTCGTCGCCGCCTACGAGCGATACTTGTTGTAGGGACCACTGTTGTGATACTTGTGGTTGTTGGATTGGTAGTTGTTGTTGTTGGAATGGTAGTTGTGGGAGTTGGAATGGTAGTTGTGATGGTTGGAAGGGTAGTTGTGGTTGTTGTAATGGTAGTTGTGGTAGTTGGTATGGTAGATGTGGTTGTTGGCATTGTAGTTGTAGTTGTTGGAGGGAGTTGGAATGGTAGTTGGAATGGTAGTGGTGGGAGTTGGAATGTTAGTTGTGGGTGTTGGAATGGTAGTTGTCCTCAATGTTTATAGAAATAGCGATCACAATGTTAAATCGGATTGAGCCCCGTCGTCGCCGCCTACGAGCGATACTTGTTGTAGGGACCACTGTTGTGATACTTGTGGTTGTTGGATTGGTAGTTGTTGTAGTTGGAATGGTAGTAGTGGTTGTTGGAATGGTTGTTGTGGTTGTTGGAGTGGTAGTTGTTGGATTGGTAGTTGTGGTTGTTGTAATGGTAGTTGTGGTAGGTGGAATGTTAGTTGTGGTTGTGGGAATGGTAGTTGTGGTGTTTGGAATAGTATTTGTGGTAGTTGGAATGCTATTTGTTTGTTGGAATGGTAGTTGCGGTAGTTGGAATGGTAGTTGTTGGTGTTGGCATGGAAGTTGTGGTTGTTGGAATAGTAGTTGTGGTCGTTGGCATGGTAGTTGTGGTTGTCGGCATTGTAGTTGTAGTTGTTGGGATGGTAGTTGTGGGAGTTGTAATGGTAGTTGTGGGAGGTGGAATGGTAGTTGTTGTAGTTGGAATGGTAGTTGTTGGTGTTGGCATGGAAGTTGTGGTAGGTGGTATGGTAGTTGTGGTAGTTGAAATGGTAGTTGTTGTTGTTGGAATGGTAGTGGTGGGAGTTGGAATGGTCGTTGTGGGAGTTGGAATGGTAGTTGTTGTTGTTGGCATGGAAGTTGTGGTAGTTGGTATGGTAGTTGTGGTTGTTGGCATTGTAGTTGTGGTTGTTGGAATGGTAGTTGTTGTTGTGGTTGTTGGAATGGTAGTTGTGGTAGTTGGTATGGTAGTTGTGGGAGTTGGAATGGGAGTTGTTGTTGTTGGCATGGAAGTTGTGGTTGTTGGAATGGTAGTTGTAGTTGTTGGAGGGAGTTGGAATGGTAGTTGTGGGAGTTGGAATGGTAGTTGTTGTTGTTGTTGGCATGGTAGTTGTTGTTGTTGGCATGGTAGTTGTGGTTGTTGGAATGGTAGTTGTTGTTGTTGGAATGGTAGTTGTGGTTGTTGGAATGGTAGTTGTGGTCGTTGGTATGGTAGTTGTGGTTGTTGGCATTGTAGTTGTTGTTGTTGGAATGGTAGTGGTGGTTGTTGGAATGGTAGTTGTGGTAGATGGCATGGTAGTTGTGGTTGTTGGCATGGTAGTTGTAGTTGTTGGAATGGTAGTGGTGGTTGTTGGAATGGTAGTTGTGGTAGTTGGAATGTTAGTTGTGGTTGTTGGAATGGTAGTTGGAGTTGTTGGAATGGTAGTGGTGGTAGTTGGAATTGTAGTTGTGGTAGTGGGAACGGTAGTTGTGGTTGTTGGAATGGTAGTTGTGGTAGTTGGAATGTTAGTTGTGGTTGTTGGAATGGTAGTTGTGGGAGTTGGAATGGTGGTTGTTGTTGTTGGCATGGTAGTTGTGGTTGTAGGAATGGTAGTTGTGGTAGTTGGAATGTTAGTTGTGGTTGTTGGAATGGTAGTTGTAGTTGTTGGAATGGTAGTGGTGGTTGTTGGAATGGTAGTTGTGGTAGTTGGTATGGTAGTTGTGGTTGTTGGAATGGTAGTTGTAGTTATTGGAATGGTAGTGGTGGTAGTTGGAATGGTAGTTGTGGTAGTGGGAACGGTAGTTGTGGTTGTTGGAATGGTAGTTGTGGTTGTTGGAATGGTAGTTGTGGTTGTTGGAATAGTAGTTGTGGTAGTTGGAATGGTAGTTGTGGTAGTTGGCATGGTAGTTGTGGTTGTTGGCATTGCAGTTGTAGTTATTGGAATGGTAGTTGTGGTAGTTGGCATGGTAGTTGTGGTAGTTGGAATGGTAGTTGTGGTAGTTGGCATGGGAGTTGTGGTTGTTGGAATGGTAGTTGTGGTTGCGGGAATGGTAGTTGTAGTTGTTGGAATGGTAGTTGTGGTAGTTGGAATGCTATTTGTTGTTGTTGGAATGGTAGTGGTGGTAGTTGGAATGGTAGTTGTAGTTGTTGGATTGGTAGTTGTAGTTGTTGGAATGGTAGTTGTGGTAGTGGGAACGGTAGTTGTGGTTGTTGGAATGGTAGTTGTAGTTGTTGGATTGGTAGTTGTGGGAGTTGGAATGGTAGTTGTGTTTGTTGGAATGGTAGTTGTGTTTGTTGGAATGGTAGTTGTAGCTGTTGGATTGGTAGTTGTTGTAGTTGGAATGTTGGAATGGTAGTTGTGTTTGTTGGATTGGTAGTTGTGGTAGTTGGGATGGTAGTTGTAGTTGTTGGAATGGTAGTGGTGGTAGTTGGAATGGGAGTTGTATTTGTTGGATTGGTAGTTGTTGTTGTTGGCATGGTAGTTGTGGTAGTTGGCATGGTAGTTGTGGTAGTTGGCATGGTAGTTGTGGTTGTTGGAATGGTAGTTGTGGGTGTTGGAATGGGAGGTGTATTTGTTGGATTGGTAGTTGTGGTTATTGGAATGGTAGTTGTAGTTGTTGGAATGGTAGTTGTGGTTGTTGGATTGGTAGTTGTAGTTGTTGGATTGGTAGTTGTAGTTGTTGGATTGGTAGTTGTTGTTGTTGGATTGGTAGTTGTAGTTGTTGGATTGGTAGTTGTAGTTGTTGGATTGGTAGTTGTATTTGTTGGAATGGTAGTTGTGGTAGTTGTAATGGTAGTTGGAATGGTAGTTGTAGTTGTTTGATTGGTAGTTGTTGTTGTTGGATTGGTAGTTGTGGTTATTGGAATGGTAGTTGTAGTTGTTGGACTGGTAGTTGTTGTTGTTGGATTGGTGGTTGTAGTTGTTGGAATGGTAGTTGTAGTAGTTGGATTGGTAGTTGTTGTTGTTGGAATGGTTGTTGTGGTTGTAGGAATGGTAGTTGTAGTTGTTGGAATTGTAGTTGTGGTTGTTGGATTGGTAGTTGTAGTTGTTGGAATGGTAGTTGTAGTAGTTGGATTGGTAGTTGTTGTTGTTGGAATGGTAGTTGTAGTTGTTGGATTGGTCGTTGTTGTTGTTGGATTGGTAGTTGTTGTAGTTGGAATGGTAGTTGTAGTTGGTGGAATGGTAGTTGTGGTTGTTGGAATGTGGAATGGTAGTTGTTGTTGTTGGAATGGTAGTTGTAGTTGTTGGACTGGTAGTTGTTGTTGTTGGATTGGTGGTTGTAGTTGTTGGAATGGTAGTTGTAGTAGTTGGATTGGTAGTTGTTGTTGTTGGAATGGTTGTTGTGGTTGTTGGAATGGTAGTTGTTGTTGTTGGAATGGTTGTTGTGGTTGTTGGAATGGTAGTTGTTGTTGTTGGAATAGTAGTTGTGGTTGTTGGAATGTAGTTGTGGTTGTTGGAATGGTAGTTGTAGCTGTTGGATTGGTAGTTGTTGTTGTTGGAATGGTTGTTGTGGTTGTTGGAATGGTAGTTGTAGTTGTTGGACTGGTAGTTGTTGTTGTTGGATTGGTGGTTGTAGTTGTTGGAATGGTAGTTGTAGTTGTCGGAATGGTAGTTGTGGTAGTTGGAATGGTGGTTGTGGTAGTTGGAATGGTAGTTGAGGTAGTTGGAATGGTAGTTGTAGTTGTAGGAATGGGAGTTGTGGTTGTTGGAATGGTAGTTGTGGTTGTTGGAATGGTAGTTGTAGTTATTGGAGTTGTAGTTGTGGTTGGCGCAACATAACAGGTCTCACAACAGTTATCCAGTCTGGTAGGAGAATACGTGTCACATTGAGTGACGTCACAAGTGGAGGAAGTATCGCCAAACTGACAACCTGAGAATGAAACAGAACATTGATATATATATCCTGTACAATGGGGTCAATCTGTTGTGTTTTGATATTTGTGACGGTATATCGTGAGGACATTGTTGCAAACTGAGGGCTACTGGCGACGGCAGGGGAGTCAGTAAAGCAGGCATTTGCCACTGACAGCTTTATCACAAGATTCAGTCTCATATATATAAAACATTTCAGGATTATCCTATTCTGATTCATTTTGTGTATATACACACTTTGTGGTCGAGAATTCCCGAAAAAAGTAAATGATCAATAGCTATGTATTTCTCTCATCATCAATAAATTGATTTATCAAACATTTAGCATCAATACTTCAAATACAATTAGCTTGGTTTCTTTACTGAAACACGTCATTTCAACAGAGGAACTATTGACACACGTATTTGTGATGCATGTAAACAAAAATAGTATGTCAAGGTTATACTGCTTAAAATAAACTGTGTTGCACCTAATTGAAAAACGTATTTACATAGTGAATTAATAAGGATGGATGATTGTCGAGCAGACATGGCATAACAGATAGTAGAAAGGAGAGATTTAAAATAAGCTTGTAAAACTATTGGCCTTGTTGAAGGGGAATAAACCGTACCTGGTATGTTGGTTTCAGCAGCGCTGCACGTGCTACAACACTTATTGTAGAAGGAACTTATTTTGCATATGGTGTCGATAGTAAAAGTGGCCACCAGCTGGTCACAGGTGTAGGAAACCCCGTTCTGAGTGTGAACTATCCCGGGTTCATTGCCGAACGGACACACATCTGGAAAGGCCAAGTCACGTGATATAAAATGCGCACGAAACAATGACGTCATCTTCGTTGATAAAAGCATGCTATTAACTTTTTGAATTAGCATTGTAAGTGAAGAACTGGCAGGGAAATTTGTAAACAGAAACACAACGGGGGTCATTTATTTGTTTATAATTAAAAAATACGAAGATAAAATGTGTCTTTGTCTTTCAACTTAAAACGTTAACCTGGAATTTCGTATTCTGCGACTCTTCACTTTGCAAATCGCATAAGCATAACGCACTGGTCTAAACTCAGCAGAACATGACTCCAGATGTGATGTTTTGATTACGTAGCTGCTGACCGACGTCATTGATAGCAACGGAATAATCCAATTTGCACAAGGTTTCATACAAAGCTGAGAATATGTAGTGGTTCGTTCTCGCATAGCGTAAACTATTTCATTTAACCACCATTTTATTTGTTTAAAAATGCAATAGATCAAAAAACACCGAAATCAATTACTAAATAAATAAATCTTTCGTATTTAGTTCTTTCTACATAAAAATAGAAATAGGGTAGACATAAAGGGACCCCTTCTACTTGTCATCAATATTTGTTGTCATACGATTGTACTATGACTATCAACACGTACGTGCATCAATGCATTAATAAACTATCAAGGATTTATTAATTCGACCATTCGATAAACCTCCTTTAACCATTGATGAATAGCTGAAGCAATCAGATAACCAACCAATAATCAAACAGCAAAACAATCAATCAATTAATCAAACAAGCCATGCGGATTGGTATGTCTTGCCCGTGCTATGCTATGACCATCAATGCACATGTCAAGTTTGGTTGGTCTAGCACTTATAGTTTCAGAGAAACTAACTTAAACGCAAAAACGTAATGTTGATTGAGATGCTGACAAAGGTAGGCCACAACCAGCATTTGATGCACAGGTTGGAATGTGCTACCTAAAATGCATATATGGTCCAAGTTTGGTTGGTCTAGCACTCATACTTTCAGTGAAACTAACTTAAACGCAAAATCTTTATGTTGACGCCGCCGCTGTCGCTGGAAAAGCAAAACCTTAGTCTCACCTCCGCTACTTCGTGGCGCCGAGACAAAAAATGAATCCTCCATCAAATATAGTCTACAGTTGCAGTGGTATGATCGCGATTAGCAAAACTCATCAAATAATCAAAGTTCGATTTATAAAAGATTTGATAAACCAATCAATTAATCACGATGAAAAAAATCAAAGAAGTTTACGATGAGCTTTGAATATAAATGTCATGTACCAGTAAATTGTTTCACTTACCGCTGGAAGCTGGCGCTGTTGCGTTGTATACACAGACACCCCGTTCACACCACTGTAATAATACAAGATATTATATAATCAATGGCAACCCATATAAGGTGAACAAGTACCCCATAATCTCGAAAATAAACCACCAATTACTTTTTGTTTTAGTGTATAATACCAGTCTAATTTTCGAAATCGATCAATTTGTATAGCTGTCTTATTTTTGAAGCTATTGAGACTTCACCGTTTGGTTTTATCTTGTTTAAAGTCCTATCAACAGCTGAGGTCATTTGAGGACGTGCCTCTATGTGTGTTGTGAATGGATGCTGGTGTGTTTGTGTGTGTGGTGTGTGTGAGTGTGTGCTGGAAGCATGGCATGTTGGTTTATTTGCCTCCTTGTGATACATGTAGCGCGGATCTGATGCCGACTTTATAGTGCTATCTCACTGAAATACCCTGCCGAAGGCACCCAACACAGCATCCCACCCGGTCACATGATACTGACAACGGCCTCTTTCCGAAGAAGGCTTTATTTATATTTGACTGAAAAGAATCCAAAGGTTATTTTCAAAGTCAGCATATTTTCAAATCATGCATATTCGATTAATTATCACAACTGTAGAACTATAGTGATGTGATGAACGATTATACTAGTCAAGAGGCTGATAACCCCAACGTACATAACCTTATCTCCTGTTGAACTTATTTATGTATTAGACAAGCCATTCGGATTGATATGTCTCGCCTGTGTCCCGTTTTGACCATCAATGCACATGTCAAGTTCGGTTGGTCTAGCATTTATAGTGTCAGAGAAACTAACTTAAACGCAAAAACAAAGTCAAAGGACCATGAAAGGTAGGCCGCATCCAGCATTTGATTGATGCGTTGAGATGTACTACCTAAGATGTATCTATGGTCCAACTTTTGTTGATCTAGCACTTATACTTTCAGTGAAACGAACGTAAACGCAAAAACTTAATGTTGACGCCACCGCCGCTGGTAAAGCAACACCTTAGTCTCGATTCCGCTACTTCGTCGCGGCGAGACAAAAAATCATCTTTATGTAGAATCAGTATTCTGCAAATGTATTTCTGTTTAGTGGTAGCTATCTATCACAATTGTCTATATTTAAAACATGCTTGAAGTGTTGTAATGTAATAGATAGGTTATATTCAAATTATTACCTTTATTATATTGAATTCAGTACCACTACCTATCTTTTGTTTTAATCTTAATTAATCTCATTATCATTTGTAAGCATTATAGGTTTATATTGTGTGATGCGACATCTTACAATTTCTTCTGTTCTCGATCTTTTCTGTAATAGTGTTCGAATTCCACTCGTAACGGAAATGTGTCGTTATCAATTGCCGTGACATGCTGTTCGCATTTCCCCCAAACAAAGTTAATCATCTGTATCTGGATTTGTTTCACTTTAGGTATGTATGTATCGAATGGTACAAAATCAGGTATTTATTAAAAACAATTTTTACAGTTTCGGGCAAGCTTTATTTAACTATATAATTGTGCCGTTTACTTTTTTTATTCTAAGCAGGCTTAATGTTTACAAAATAAACAAACAATAGTTTCTGCGCGCTATATAATTGTTTTCTCTAAAAATTAAGTATTTTGAATGATTAAATTGAAAAATTGACAATAAAATCGTCACTATGCTGTAAAATTGAATCGTATGGGCTTGCACCCTATTGCATTGATTAGTTTTTCAGTAACAGTCTCAAACATTGAAAATTTTACTTTCATCACATAAATAATATTAAAAATGCTCCTTAAAAAACAAAGGACTTACTAGACGAACATTGAATATCAAACCTGTATGTTATAACACTTCTTTACATTTTATATCATTTTAAGGAGGTATTTTTCAGTACTGAAGCAGTGACGTCCACAAATGGTGGTGTTTTTTTTTTTATAAAAAATGAATTTGGATATTTCCTGAAACAGGAGCCGGAAAATGAGAATAAAGAAGAAATCGAAGAGAGGGATAGTGACTTTAACAACGCTTCTTTGGCAATTGCTTGAAAGGCAGGATTACAGCAAACAAAAATAATTTATTTGTCGGAAGCATTTTGGTAGAAGGCACAATCTCGCTAAATATCTTCTACCCCTATGAATATGCTAAAAGGCCAAACAAATTATAAAGACCAATTTTAGCAATCTTTTGCAGCAGCCTACTCGGATGATCTAATATTTTATTTCATTATAATTCGCTAAACTCTTAATAACTCAAAATACGGTTTTCAAATTTTTTATAATTTTGCATATCAAAATCAAGCTGCATATCTTAAGACACGACCCCAAAACTTCAGCATCTTCGTTCCGAAATTGTGGCGCATTTTATTCTCTCAAATAACCCCAACAACACCATAAATAACTTTGAAGCGAGTGATTTTGTTAACGTATTGTATATCGATCATGATTGCAATTTTTTTCAATTACATTTTGTTTTCTTCAAGCAGTTTCACATAATGCTTAAAACTCGTAGAATATACTTTAACTGCAAAAGAACACACTCATTAATACACCACACAAATGAAGTGTATGCTGCAAATAAACTGATATATTTTTTTCCACAAAAGTTACTTAACAATACTCGTAATATAATTTGAATTTTACAAGTACCTCTTCTCAATTTTGTTTCACATAATTAAGAGTTTCTATACCCCCCCCCCCCCCCCCCCCCTTTCTTTTTCAACAGTGGGGTTGATTGAACAAATTTTGGATTTTCGGCTTATTGGTCTGTAGCATCACCGATGAGTCCTGGGAGGGCAAAACATGTAATTTAATTTTGCATACTGTATATATTACAAAAGTTTTAATGGTACGATCACCTGCTTGTGTGTTGTGGTACGTTCGTATTTGATCTACCTATATTTTGACCCATTTGAGGGGACACTGCTATTACCTTTTGGTTACCGCACGTTGTACCGGTGGCTGGGACGAAGCTGAAGCAGAAATTGCTCGCAAGGTCCTGACAGTACATGGTGTGACACATGGTGGAATAATCCTTGGAGTAAAATCTCTGAAACGGAAACCGGACCGGAATTTACAGGAATATATTCCATGCCAATTACAACAAAGGCAATGTGTGAGTTGTAAATTTAACAGAGATAAATACTAAATTCATTTAAATTAATATTTCAGTTTTTTTGTATGGGCTGTGGTTTGGAATACATTGCAAGCTTATTTGATAAATGCAAGAAATTAAAAATAATTTAATCCGTGTTGTGCATTATAGATACAAATGGATAGTATTGTGATACTATGAATGTAGATTTTGATTTCGGAGTATTTATAGAATCAAATCCATCAATTATTTCATTCAGAATCCACTTAAGTTATATTGTAATTGTAAATATGTTTTGGAAGGAGGCGTTGATAACTTCCAATAACCCGTGCCTGATCCCTGAAGCTAAACATTTAAAATCACACGATTTTTGTCATTGTGATTTTGAACATTCGTTTTTAGTAATTCCCAAATGAGTTATGTATGTCTATATTCTGTTGCTTTATTTTTACAGTGGGTCCTGTGAAAGAAACATCAATTGACCTAGCTAATCTGCCTTATTTATAGATGATGTCACCAGTTTGAAACAAAAAATATCCCTAAATAGAATTTAATAGTAAAACGGTGCCCAATGTCTTTTAATTATATACAGGTCACCTTACCCTACATAGGTATGACCCGCTTCCCTCCAGTCGCTCGCACTGCTCGTCAGCTGTTGTCAGCTGACCGGGAATCTCCTGGTCATACGGGGTCAAGGCCGTCGGGTCGTGACTGCTACTCAAGGTCAACAGGCAGTTATTTCCTTCACTGTAACATTGCCAGTCGGGATAATAAATAAGTTTGGAATCTCTTGAGACATGCAAGCCTCATTTGGGAAGAAATGTACGTTAATAAACTCGTTTTATTACAATTATGTAAAAACATGTAACAATTTGTAGGCTTTGTAGGCAATGTGTTGGTGGTGGACTCAATATAGGTTTCTTTTTCTAACCAAAGCCGATGACGTGACCATGTTTAATTTAAACAATGTCCTTGGAACGAACAAATAAGTGTTTTGTAATTCTTCGACTGGTTTTTTTATTATTCAAAATATCGTGTTGATAAACATTTTATGATGAACATACACATAAGATTGATAAATAATTATTGAAAAATAAATAAAAATAGATAAATAAAGGAACTCGTTTATTGGCGCTAATGATTTAGTTTCATCATTTTGATTGAAGAAACTTTGAAACTTACACTTGCAATAAGGACCGAAAGAATGCCACACGGATTGCAAATGTAAATTATTATATAACAACTTATTTATCCCGATTCGACATTTTGCCCTGAGAGCTACGTGTTAAAATGTATTCTTGTGTTAAAATTTATTCTTATTCTTATGCATTATCCCAATTGCAGAAGGTCAGTGGCAAATCTCAAAATATCAAAAGGTTTTAAAAATAATAAAAGGTGGCTACCAAACCGTCAGAAAGATGTCACTTAAGATGAATATAAAAAAAGATGAAAATATCAGCAGAGAAAATCTGAATATTGGGGGAAGAAAAGTAAAGAATGAACGTCAAATATCGTAAATCCAGCAACCTCGGATCCCCATGATATTTTCTGATTTGCAAAAACTAGTATTTGTGAACTTTCTACAGGAAACTTTTACATTTTTTTCAATCTGATTAAAATCATATGTTACATGGCTTCGTTAACTTCGTACTACGTCTGTACATCTGAGTGTGCCGCGGTCAGGGTCACGTACAGGTGACCTTTATATTTATAAATACTCATAAAATTTTGACCAATCAGAGACCCTCTTTCAAAAGGGCGCTCGGAGTTGTAACAAATATGGCGGACATTGGTGAGAATGATGCGAAAGTTATTTGAGATTGATCGTCTGAAACCCAAACAGAAAAAGATATTCGAAGCTTTATTAGTGAAGAAAGACTGTATGGCGACGTTTATACGTTTTCCTTGGCGTCGTCGAAACGTCAGTTCCCGCCGCCATATTTGTTTAGGGAAACTAATCTGTTCGATACCCCTCGCTATTTATCTATCAACCATGATATTCCGATTCGCTGGCAAACTTTTGCCAGCGCCCCTCTGATTGGTTCATATAAAGGTCACTTGAACGTGCCCCTGACCGCGGCACATTCAGATGTTCAGGCGGAGCCATGTAACAGATGATTTTAATCAGATTGCAAATAAGTGTTGGTTGTTATCAACTGTTTAACGGTATCAATCGTCTGTTTGGTGCTGTTTATCTGACTTAGTCATACTTCAAGCAGCATAGTTTTCTTAAATAATCTAGAGGCAATGTGGTCCGACCAAGCACTCGTAATCGAGTTCTGCTCACTGCAACTAACGTGAGACAGGTAGCGACAGTCTCCATTTTGTTGTTTGATTTGATCAGTCATTAGTCAGATTTATGTATTTCACCAGATGATGAACTTTTACCTGGTGAAATTTATCACTTTTCTTATTCAATCTAGTTATCCCCTTTATGCTGTCCAATGTGGAAGATATCACGTATATACTCTCATTAGGTAAAGGACTATTTCGTTATTACCAGGTAAAAGTTATCTCTTTCTTTAAATTCCATTTAGTGAAAGTTCCAATTTATTCTTTCTTCGAATGGAAGATATTTCATTTTTATACTTTAACGTGTGAAAAAATATCACTTTGATATTTTCAGAAAGAGAAAAAATTACTTTCATTCTTTTCCGGTTGAAAAATATCATTTGTATACAATACCATGATAGATTTATCACTTCCATATAAAAAAAAATATATATAAATTCACCAGGTGAACGAAATCACGTTGAACTATAACTGTCAATGACAAATTGGGTAAATGCTATTAAAAGAAGTTATTTGCGCTTATTATCACCACATACTTATTTAGGGTGGCGATATTGTCTTCGAATGACGTCACGGAGCAACTGGAGAAAATCCAAGGATTTGAAGCGTCATCTCCAGTCATCGTCAAGGTAACCGGAGACATGATATATCCGAACGAGCTGTCACATACGGTCAGGTTGTATATTCCATCATGGGGGGAACCCATACTGAAAATAAGAAGTATTTAAGTAAATGATTATCGGAGAGGGAGCATATATCAGGAAAAAATAAATCTTCCAGCTAAGGCGAAACGAAGATATCATCGTACTACCGTAAATAAAATATTGTTCAGTATTAATATATGCTTTCTACACGAACTCCGTGATATTCAGAAAAGAATAAAATTAACAGTTCACATTTATTTTTCATGCTAAGCGATAAATTCGTTCCGTTAATTTTTTGTATTCTGAAGAGTATAGTGGTAACCCCCATAGATGAAATTTTAGCTGTCCGAAAACAGTCTCCGATTGTAAACTAAAATGAAGAAATACGCAAACCAGTTTGATAGATAGGGGCAGGGGTGGGGTGTTGATGAAAGAGTCAATTAGGGGAGGGGTATTAAAGGTAATGGTGGGGTAGTAAAGGTAGGGGAGGGGGTAGTAAAGGTAGGGGAGGGGGTAGTAAAGGTGGGGGAGGGGTAGTAAAGGAAGGGGAGGGACAGTAAAGGGAGGGGAGGGGGAGTAAAGGTAGGGGATGGGGAGTAAAGGTAGGGGAGGAGTAATAAAGGTAGGGGAGGGACAATAAAGGTGAGGAGGGGTAGTAAAGGAAGGGGAGGGGTGTTGATGATAGAGTCAATTACGGGACGGGTAGTAAAGGTATGGTAGGAGTAATAAAGGTAGGGGAGGTGGTAGTAAAGGTAGGCGAGGGGTAGTAAAGGAAGGGGAGGGACAGTAAAGGAAAGGGAGGAGGAGCTAGGGTAGGGAAGGGGTATTTAAGGTAGGGGAGGGGGAAGTAAAGGTAGGGGATGGGGAGTAAAGGTAGGGGATGGGTAGTAAAGGTAGGTGGGGGACAGTAAAGGTAGAGGTGGGGTAGTAAAGGTATGGTAGGAGTAATAAAGGTAGGGGAGGTGGTAGTAAAGGTAGGGGATGGGGAGTAAAGGTAGGGGATGGGTAGTAAAGGTAGAAGGGGGTAGTAAAGGTATGGGAGGGGTGTTGATGGTGGAGTCAATTAGGGGAGGGGTATTTAAGGTAGGGGAGGGGTTGTAAAGGTAGGGGAGGGACAATAAAGGTGAGGAGGGGTAGTAAAGGAAGGGGAGGGACAGTAAAGGGAGGGGAGGGGGGAGGAAAGGTAGGGGCGGGGTAGTAAAGGTATGGGAGGGGTGTTGATGATAGAGTCAATTACGGGACGGGTAGTAAAGGTATGGTAGGAGTAATAAAGGTAGGGGAGGAGTAATAAAGGTAGGGGAGGGACAGTAAAGGAAAGGGAGGAGGAGCTAAGGTAGGGGAGGGGGAGGCAAAGGTAGGGGAGGGACAGTAAAGGAAAGGGAGGAGGAGCTAAGGTAGGGGAGGGGGGAGTAAAGGTAGGAGAGGAGGAGTAAAAGTAGGGGAGGGGTAGTAAAGGTAGGGGAGGGACAGTAAAGGAAAGGGAGGAGGAGCTAAGGTAGGGAAGGGGTAGTTAAGGTAGGGGAGGGGTAGTAAATGAAGGGGNAGTAAAGGTAGGGGAGGGGGTAGTAAAGGTAGGGGAGGGGTAGTAAAGGTAGGGGAGGGACAGTAATGTAGGTAGTAAAGGTACGGAAGGGGTAGTAAAGGTAGTGGAGGGTTAGTAACGGTAGGGGAGGGGTAGTAAAGGTAGTGAAAGGGGTAGTAAAGGTAGGGGAGGGGGTAGTAAAGGTAGGGGAGGGGTAGTAAAGGTAGGGGAGGGACAGTAAAGGTAGGGGAGGGGTGTTGATGATAGAGTCAATTACGGGACGGGTAGTAAAGGTAGGGGAGGAGTAATAAAGGTAAGGGAGGAGTAGTAAAGGTAGGGGAGGGGTAGTAAATGTAGGGGAGGGGTGTTGATGATAGAGTCAATTAGGTGAGGGGTAGTAAAGGTAGGGTAGGGGTAGTAAAGGTAGGGGAGAGGGTAGTAAAGGTAGGTGAGGCGTAGTAAAGGTAGGGGAGGGGTGTTGATGATAGAGTCAATTAGGGGAGGGGTAGTAAAGGTAGGGGAGGGGTAGTAAAGGTAGGGGAGGGGTTGTAAAGGTAGGGTAGGGTAGTAAAGGTAGGGGAGGGGTAGTAAAGGTAGGGGAGGGACAGTAAAGGTAGGGGAGGGGTGTTGATGAAAGAGTCAATTAGGGGAGGGGTAGTAAAGGTAGGAGAGGGGGTAGTAAAGGTAGGGGAGGAGTTGTAAAGGTAGGGGAGGGGTAGTAAAGGTAGGGGAGGGGAAGTAAAGGTAGGGGAGGGGTTGTAAAGGTAGGGTAGGGTAGTAAAGGTAGGGGAGGGGTAGTAAAGGTAGGGGAGGGGTAGTAAAGGTAGGGGAGGGGAAGTAAAGGGAGGGGAGGGGTTGTAAAGGTAGGGGAGAGACAGTAAAGGTAAGGGAGGGGGAGCTAAGGTAGGGGAGGGGAAGTAAAGGTATGGGAGGGGTGTTGATGATAGAGTCAATTAGGTGAGGGGTAGTAAAGGGAGGGGAGTGGTGTTGATGAAAGAGGCAATTAGGGGAGGGGGAGTAAAGGTAGGAGAGGGGGTATTAAAGGTAGGGGAGGATTTGTAAAGGTAGGGGAGGGGAAGTAGAGGTAGGGGAGGGGTTGTAAAGGTAGGGGAGAGACAGTAAAGGTAAGGGAGGAGGAGCTAAGGTAGGGGAGGGGAAGTAAAGGTATGGGAGGGGTGTTGGTGATAGAGTCAATTAGGGGGGGGGTAGGAAAGGTAGGGGAGGGACAGTAAAGGTAAGGGGGGAGGAGCTAAGGTAGGGGAGGGGTAATAAAGGTAGGGGAGGGGAGGTAAAGGTAGGGGAGGGGTTGTAAAGGTAGGGGAGGGGAAGTAAAGGGAGGGGAGGGGAGTAAAGGTAGGGGAGGGACAGTAAAGGTAGAGGTGGGGTAGTAAAGGTAGGGGGGGGGTAGGAAAGGTAGGGGAGGGACAGTAAAGGTGAGGGAGGAGGAGCTAAGGGAGGGGGGGGGTAGTAAAGGTAGGGGAGGGGAAGTTAAGTTAGGGGAGGGGTAATAAAGGTAGGGGGGGGGAGTAAAGGTAGGGGAGGAGAAGTAAAAGTAGGGGAGGGGTAGTAAATGTAGGGGAGGGGTTGTAAAGGTAGGGGAGAGACAGTAAAGGTAAGGGAGGGACAGTAAAGGTAGAGGTGGGGTAGTAAAGGTAGGGGAGGGGAAGTTAAGGTAGGGGAGGGGTAATAAAGGTAGGGGAGGGTAGTAAAGGTAGGGGAGGGGTAGTAAAGGTAGGGGAGGGACAGTAAAGGTAAGGGAGGAGGAGCTAAGGTAGGGGAGGGGTAGTTAAGGTAGGTAGGGGGAAGTAAAGGAAGGGGAGGCGTAGTAAATGTAGGGTAGGGGCAGTTAAGGTAGGGGAGGGGTAGTAAAGGTAGGGGAGGGATAGTAAGGTAGGTAGTAAAGGTACCGGAGGGGTAGTAAAGGTAGTGGAGGGGTAATAACGGTAGGGGAGGGGTAGTCAAGGTAGTGAAAGGGGTAGTAAAGGTAGGGGAGAGGTAGTAAAGGTAGAGGAGGGGCCTTTGGACTGGGGGAAGTAGAGTATGGTGTAACTCACTTGTGTCCTAGCTCGTGTGCCGCTATGGTCATCATATTGTAGTTAAATCTATCTTCAACAACGGACAACATGCTGGTTTTACACACCCCAGGCCTGAACGCCAAACCTGGTGATCAAGGAAATAAGTATTCAAATTAATACATATTAATAGCTTAAACGAAAAACCATTTGTTTATGTATTTTATTTCATTTTCTATCATTTATTTTTACTTATTATTATGTACTAAAAAATCAAACTGGTACACGTATTTCAAATGGGGATTGATAGAAAGGGTCGGGATAATGAAATTCCTCATTTTGATAAAACACCTGAAGACATTTCAATCCTTGAAAGATTCTTTCATTCTGGAATGTCTGCGTATGATATTCGAGAATAGACCTATTTATAGTCCTTATGTAAAACCCCTCAGACTCTAGCTTTTGGCAAGGTACTCAATTTTTTAAATAAAACTTATTTTTAGGCGTTATTTCAAACAGTTTTTAATTATTTCCTACCATAAATAACCAAAATATGCCAAAACGGGTTAATTCCTCGCACAAAGTAATGCAAATTTTACCCTTTACCGAAAGAAATGGATTTTCCGGGGTTCATTAAATTAAAATTCCTAATAAAGCAACTTAGAACCTTTCCATCCGTGCAGAGTAATTGATTCTAGAATTTAGGGAATTAAAGAAGAAGATTCGTGAATTATCAGCCAATTTGCACCTGTGAATTAAACCTCACGACCTCTTAGGGATGGGAATAATAAAAAAAATCGGAAGTATTACGGAGGACTCGCCGAGGACGGACAAAAGGCGCCTGCGATAAGAAACTTAATCTTGTGTGTTGAGTTTTAATGTATCGTATCTCTACATGTACATTCGTCAAAACTGAACACACAGGATGGAAATTCGACTGACTCTATTACACTGGTGTGATATTGTGAACTGTAACGTACCAGCTACACCACTAGACACGATTCCATCGACGGTCGACGTGAAATCATACCTGAAAATAGAAATAAATATTTCTTTCTAGGATTATGCATAACTCATTTATCAGTCATTTAGATATCATAAACCGTTATAGTTAAAGTTTGCATGTGTTCACTTGTTACAAAATAAGCAGATATATCGGTTAATAACTCATTCACCCCTGAAATTTCATAATGAACTATTCCAACCTTTGAATTGAAAGAGTTCAAATGTGTCTTCAGGGGTGAATGAGTTAATGATAAAGTTACGTTTTCGCTTTTGAACAAGATAGCGATATCAACCCTAGGCAAAATGTGTGGTAGCATTCAATAGTCATCGTACCCCGAAATGGTCAAACAACATAAAAATAATGAAACAGAATTTATTTATTTATTTATTTTGGACAATGATGAATCTATAAGAGTTTACTATAACGGAAAACAGTCTACAAAAATCAACCTTGCAGAACATGCTTTATGTATTGTATATAGGGCCAAAACTGGCCTAAATATATAACATGTTGCTACATAATTTATTTTTCGTTTTTCACCATGATGAATCCAAATAATTATATTAAACCGGTAAATATGGCCAAAGAGTTGATTATCTATCTCAAAATCGCAACAAAAGCAGATGCATCGTGTATCTGCAGTTTTAGAACGACTTTAAGCCGTAGTGATACAATTTATCAATGATACAATACATATTCTTCAATACATAGCTTTCGATGCAACTTTTGGAAAATTTGAAACGAACTTCAGCTGGTCTTTTTCCGCGATCTTTTTTTATTTCCCATACTCCGTATTACCATAATGTGGATACCACACTTCAAAACAGGTAAAATAAACGATCTTTTTAATATTCTCCCAACTAGGTTGGTTTTGGTGGATATGTTTCGGAATACTAAAACAATTATATCTACATCTTTGTGATTTTTTTTATTTAGCTTATAAATGTGATGTTAAAGCGTAGATTGATTGGCCTACAACAGGTGTGAGAATTCAACACAGGGCAATATAATGTAAAAGGTCCTTGGACAAACACATCTGGCGGGTTTAAAACAGTTTGGTTCATATACCAGTTGTTTTTTTTAACTCAGAAATATTTTCCGTTCTTTTTTTTATTAAAAATGTCAGTTTTCAATTTATATTATCTTGACGTCCACGTGAACAGTTATCAGCCTAGCGACTGGCTTTTATATTCATGTAATTATTCCAACTTTATGCAAAGCCACAGTGACGTACTTTGAAAACAGCATGGCATGGTCGTGTCCGGGAAGACCAGAAGCGCTCGTGTGCCACGTCCTAAAGTTCAACAGAGCGTTCACTACGTCCACCTTTCCATCGGACACGATGTCCTCTGTCCAGCTTGAGCTAGCCACAGTCTGTATAAATAGAAACACATTGATGTCAGAAATCGAGCATTGCAATGGCACAGGACATCCTCAGTGTCAGCGCGTAGCAGATAGGTCAAACTATATTAGGGGTAAGCATGATCTGCACAATGAAACCTTATCAACACCGATGCTCTATTTTATAAATAAAAAATATAATAGATATTGAACCATGATATTTAACTTCAGCTTCATTTGTCCGGCTAGTAAGTGTTTTAGATGATAATGATCCACACATCCTTGATACTCCAGGGATTACGCTCACTTACGCACTCTGCACCCCTGGAATATGTCATGACAAAATCGAAGGCTCAGTGTGTGCAACGTTGTGGGTGATCAAAAAAGACTAGGTTGATTATTTGATGTACATCAAAAGAATATCGCGGTTACTGGCTTTGAAGTCGGACGTCGCTCCTCTTCTTCCAGGGACAGGTATCAGCCTAGCAATTGGTCGTGTTCTTTTTTTACCTGAGACATATCTTATAGCTAGCAGCATGTCTTTTTGATTTTGTCATATTCCACTGGTGCAGAGAGCGTAACTGAGGGTAACCACTGGAGTATCGACGATGGGATCCACATAAAGGAGATTCCTCTAAGCAGTATATAGAAGTTCTCTTGTGTGGAGTCCTTATTCCGTGGAACAGTAGACGTGTTCTTGATGAACCCGGATGCCTCTTAACAGTAGTCCGGACCCTGTACAAAGTGACCAGTCTAGATTCTCTAGCGAAAATTCCGAAATCTTTTAGTGACTAGTCTAGATTTGCAAATGAGAAGTCCGGAGTTTTCTGAACCGTTAACTCGGATATCCTCGCGAATAGTTCGGATCTCTCTGACCAGGGCAGGTTCTCTAGCGAGTGGTCCGGATTAACGTGTCTACATTAGTAACTTCGTCAACAATAATAAAAGTAGTCACGGGTTCATCTAGAGGCGATCAATTAGTATCATACGCTACGCAATCACAACGCTTTAAGCAGGAAATGTTCATAGCCAATTACAAGGCTATTTTCGAAAACCATCATTGAAAATGTCGAGGCTAGTTGCCGGTACCAACGTGGCGATAACGATGCTACCTATAGGTACCTTCATAGACAATTACAAGACTACGTACGGGTACCTTCGTAGAAAGTTACAAGACTACATACGAGTACCTTCGTAGACAGTTACAAGACTACATACGGGTACTTTCGTAGACAGTTACAAGACTACATACGGGTACTTTCGTAGACAAGTACAAGCCTACATACGGGTACCTTCATAGACAATTACAAGACTGCATACGGATACCTTCATTGGCAATTACGATGCTACGTACGGGTACCTTTATTCAATATTACGAGGCTACATACAGGTCCCTTCATTGACCGTTACGAGGCTACATACGGGTTCATCCATAGACAATTACGAGGCTGCATAGGGGTACGTTCATTGAATATTACGAGGCTGCATAGGGGTACCTTCATTGAATATTACGAGGCTGCATAGGGGTACCTTTATTGAATATTACGAGGCTGCATAGGGGTACCTTCATTGAATATTACGAGGCTGCATATGGGTACCTTCATACACAATAACAAGAAAGCATACGAGAATCTTCATACATTATTACGAAGCTACATACAGGTACCTTCAAAGACAATTACAATGCTTCATACAGGTCTCTTCATTTACAATTACGAGGCTACATACGGGGTATCTACGCAACGAACACAAAGCTACATACGGGTATCTACATGGCGATCAAGAGGCTACATACGGGTACTTACGTCAGCGATCACGATACCGGCGAACACCACATCAATGGAGATAGTTGAGGACTGCAGGTTACTATACTTCATGTCTAGCTGTAAGTAAACAGATGTCGTAGTTATAGCAACAGTTACCATGGTATAAAATGTAACAGAGTATTGACATAACTCCTTCATTCCTGACTACCGCAGTAAATACATGTACCCTACATTTAAGATATGCAACTTGAATATTACATGATAACTTTAACATTAGTGGTATTCGAGGCCATTTCTACGTGGAGTCGGATATTTTACTTGAAAGACGAGTACGGGGTGGAGTTAAAATTTAAAAAAAACAAAAAAAAACAAAAAAAAACATGGTTGTTTTAAAGAAAATTTGCAGACTGAGGCTTAGGATTTTTTTATTATTGTTTTTGGAAAACTTGAAAACGTATAGGAATAATGTGTTTTTCGATGACGGCGAAGTTAGATGTACAATGTAAATTGTACCTCGTTGATGACGTAAGCGTAGAATTGAAGAATAGACTGCTTTGCTACGAGGTCCTTGGCGGCAGAGGAACTGGCCGTGCTGACGTCATACCAACTGTTGAAACAGATAACATTTATTCTCAGTTACCGACCACTAATTCAAAATATGTATGCTGCCACAATGTATATGACGTCATATTCAAATCCAACAGTATTCATGATGGTACCTATGTCAACGGCTCGAAGTTGAATAGCTTCATATAAGACAATATTACAAAAAGTATACAAAAAATCGAAGAAATCAAATTAAATTCATAAAAAGAAAAGGGGGAGAGAAACATTGAAATAGGAAATTACTAAATACTGAATTAAAACACCCTTTAAAGCGGTGTGGATTACATAGATACGTTTAATTTCTGAGCAATTGAGAAATCCAACTTTAAAAGAAACATTTTCATATTTTCCAAACTGGACACACTTTCATAAGAAAATGTCTGTCAACTCTCTTGAAATCTTTTCTTTTTTGAGATGTCAAAATTATATCCATTCGGCAATCATTGTTGTAACTAAATACATGTATATACATTGATCTTACAGGGAAATATGTTAATCAAATGCGAAAACTTGACTCCAACCCATTTTTATAAAGCTCAAGTCCAATTGTTACTGGAAAAGTCGTCGGTTTTGTGTTTGGAGCTTTTTTCGCGTTTTATTCGTTGGCAGTTTTTCTGTGAAAATATCCGGTAAAATTAATATTGGAGCATTACAAATGAGTATATCGAAAGATACAATAAAACAGAAAATACGAGTTCATCCGGGTTATTTTAATACAACTCTAGACTGCATACCAACCTGTTCAAATGATCAGCTATTGACTTCAGATCAATTAATTCAAGTAAAACTGCGACATTTTTCGTGCCGGCAAAAAATTAAGATTTTTACAGTAATCAATGGGTAAGTGACGTTTCCAATTTTACATTGGGTGAGGGATGGGAACAGGCAGGATTTCAATAAAATTATCTTTACCACATCCTCTTTTATCAAAACATGTTTTGCGTCTGGGACTCGTATCGGCAACAATCAAAACACATGTAAGTGGATGTGTTTACGTGCATCCCGGTAAATGATAAAGCTGATCACCGTTCTTACCATCAACAACTTCATCATATCCGCGAATTTTGCATTAAAATTGTGAAAATCTTTTGAAACATTTTTTTTTTAAACATGACTAATTTAAATCTGCCCGATCCATCAGTAACAGCTAACACCCTGCCACTAACACCAGTTTAAAACCGCAGCTCTAGATCTTTCAAAAGGACGGAGGGTCACCTGTAGCTATCCCTAATCACCGAAATGACGCATGACGAATTTTATATAATTTATCCATTAATGTAAACACTGATTTGAAAAAAAGCCTTTCATCCCAAAAACGTAAGCTCATTATGTAAAACGTAAACAATTTTAAATGACGGGGCGTTGTGGGTTTGTACCCGGCATGTTTTGGGGGAAAATGAATACGTGTATATTGAACTGGGAACTTAAATGGAACGAAGCTCGATTGATAATACAGGTTAGCCACAAGATCGCAGCGTTAGGGAGATTAAATGATAATATTGTTGCTTAGGTCACGACGCTCGGCAGGACGTTAAGGTCTTTTGCAAAGAGTAAGGCACTAAACAGGGTGTGTGTAGCTCGTAGTTTATTTATTTATTTGTCGGTATGTATGCTTGTTGTTTATATCAGATCAAAACACACCTCTGTTTACTAGATACTTCACAGACTGTGAGATGATTTTATGTACGTCACGCTTTCCAAACATTAGAAGTAAACCATACCCGGAACTTCATTATATGTATTAAGGGTGTATGCTACATTACGATGACTTTTATCTTCTATCTATTGAAGAGTTCTCTACAGTTTTCGCCCTAGTAATGAGTCTTTTGTGAAAACACTGAGATGCCTCTTGTGATATATATAGTTTTAGAGCAGAGACTGTTGGTGGGCCCGTCCCCTCATCACTTTATGCAAATCTACGCAGTGNTTCCAATTTTCCAGGTGGGTGGGGGTGGGAGGTCTCCATGTGAGGAAAAATAACCAAAAGTAACCAAGAAATCGAACCTAACGTGCAAGTTTTGATGGTGATGTTGACAAACCTAAAATTGTTTAAATTACTCGCCAACCGGAACGGCCAAATGTGTTTTCATTGACGGCATCCGGAATTTGAATACTTGCCCTTGAATATTCATATTATATGGGTAAGCAATTAATTACTTTATTTTATTCAATCGGTTTATTTATTTATTTTTCTTATTTCTTAACGTTATTTTTCAAATGATGTAATAAATATCAAAGAAAACATTTATTTTTTGCACATGTATTACACTGTTGAGTATATGTACGACGAGTGCTTGTTAGGTGGCTTAGTGGCTGTCCCTATCACCTGCTCTCTAGATTGAAACCCTGACATAATAGTTTTTATATAAAAGATGATTGATCCCTGCTATGTAACGATATGCGCTTCTGTTATGTAACTGTATACATCTTTGCGGATATGTGACACTGAAATAAACAATATCGACTTGACGTGACTGTAAGTACTGTATACGTGATATGTTCCTTTGATCAGGTAACAAACTTATCTATGAAGTAAAATACCTGATATATGTCTTTCTATCAGGTAAAATTGAAAACATACCTGTGTAAGTATGAGGCGTAGGAATGACCGCCATTATACATCTAACAAAATGAGTATGATTCAGATGCTTAACCATCCATATTGACCATTAATATGCTAATTAGCCTCGAACCTGATTCACGTGAGCGGACAATGACCAGCGTCCGACCTCACGTTATCTCCCTTAAATACTTATATACGTCAACTACCATTTAGTTCCGTCCCATTAGTACATCAAAAGCGATGATAGATTTGTTTACAACTAAAGAAATGGGCGAGGTTTTAACTCTATTATTGTATAATGCGTTTTTAAGTTTCTCTTTACTGGTGTACTCTTAAAAATAAACTTCATAAATGATAAATCAGTTCTGATCGAGCGTTCAGAATGTTGAATATGATGGTCAGACATAGCAAATATATTTACACGCGTTGGCCAAAGAAAATTCTGTGGGCAGGTCATCTATTGGAGTCTTAACTGAGTAATTAAAACTACCTGTTTAATTAACTGAACCTCGTTAATTTTCCATTAATTTCCCTAATCCACCATAAAACTAAACACAATGTATACTATTTGTATATAAGTGTTGCCTGTATATGTGTTTGTGTATATTGTATAAATGTTGATACCAAAGGATACTGTTAATTACCTGAACAAAAAAAGTCCCGTATGTGGACATCCTAAACTACGTACAATGTTAGTAGTTACCTGTATGTATAGATGCAGACTAGCTAAATTAGTTTCCCTAAGTTAATTACCGATATATGATGAAAACATAATGAAAATCATGTTTAATACCTTATTCAGTTTTAAAGAATCTATAATCTAGTCAACCAATGTTGAATAACCTATATTTATTAATTATTGTCCTTCGTTGAGGTCTATATGTGGTTTATTAACCTGAAAAGGATATATAAACCGAAGGAAAGTCGAGGTCAATATTTTCCAGGACCATATAACAACATATTCACAATACATTGTCAAAAAGGTTCACAGCAGTTGTATTGAATATGAAACTATGCTGGGTTTATTTTTCAACAAGATAGGACGTAATGAAATTGTCAAAAGAAAGGTACTGTATTTTGGCAAATGGCATATTTTGTGTCGTTACAATTGAAGTGACGTCATTAAGAGAATATTAACCTGTTTCTGAAAATAGCAACACTTGGTCAATATTTAAGAAATAAGCAATCTTCACGTATTTATGATCCAACCTAAGAGGATGGTAGGAATAAGTTCTGACACCTATGTTGATTACCAAATAAATATGTTTTAGTTTTTTTTTAGTTTCCATAAGTCGATTAATGCTAATATCTGACAGAATTTATGATCTATTCGTTTTAGTGCTGTTTACAGTGCGGCAACAAATTCTTTAAGAAAAGTTAAAAACCTGTTTTGGACAAAATAACATAATATCACATTAGTGTGCACGCATGAAAATATAAATGATGGATCGTAGTCGAGGGGGACATCTCTAACTTACTACTCGCTAGGTGGCAATACGTGGCGTCAGTTATTTGCTTGACGGTTTTGTAAATAAATTTTAGGTTATTCGTAAATATGCATCCAATTGGTTGTTATTATGTATTGATATGCATGTGCAGCTCCAGTAGAGGGCATAGGCAATTGTTCATAGATAAAATGTTTTACAATTTATTTATTTGTTGTTGGTCCCCTATTTGACGTTGGTTTAGGTATCTCTTTGGAGCCTGGTGCAGTCTTTGGGAGGGGCAAATTTAGTGAAGTCACCGTTTCTACATAAAACAGTAGGATAGACGCACAACCTGTTCGGCAGATGTACGTTTTACGGTCTCGGTGCGAAAGATGCGCCAGGCTATAATATAAAAGAAAGTCTACGCGGGTGGCGCAAGCAATTCTGTATTACTTTAAAATCAAAATCCGATTTTACTATAAAAAATGATACATGAAATCATGTTTTCAGAAATTTGTGTTTGAAATACTTTTTTTCCCTATAGTTATAATATCATTCAGCTAAATATTCGCTACTTAAAACTGGTTTCTTTCCCTTGGTATTATAAAATGGATATGTACTTTAAATGGAAAAATAATTAAAAAAAAAATGCCTAGTCACCGTCCTACAGTAGACGAAATTGACAACAAAAAAAGGTCTTTTTATTCGAAGTTTAACAACTCTTAACTTCTCTTTCGTCGTTGAATCACTTTGATTTCAGAAAAAATGTCCTGTCCAAATTTGTGTAGCAGGGTGGTGTATTATGGCGCTGTCAGACAGAGTGGCCCAATGTGGTGCTGATGGATTGGACGCCAATTTTCCAGACGATATTTTCGACATCATTGTCAAGTCCTCTAAAGCGACAGATGTCAGATGAAAGGTCAGATGAGATGGAGAACGTAATCACGAGATACACAAAAAAACTGTATAACAACTTCACCCTATACTATTTGCGGTGCACGGAGGTCGGTGTGACGTCACCCTAGAAGCGTACTAATAAATAACATTTAGCTTCATAATTGCTTCGGTTTTATTTTTGCACTACAAGCGACCTGAAAAAAAGGAATTGCTCTTCTGATAGAGAGATAGTAAGGGGTACATGCAATGACTTATATGCGTAGCGGGTATAACATTTTCAGGTCCATATGTTTTAATAAGATCCCCTTTGACTGGTGATTAGCTATAAAGAGGTAATTTCTTGTTGTTTTGTAATTACCATGCATAGTAAGTTCATTTCATAAAGATAGTGGATTTCCGCAACATATTACGAAAAATATTTACGTTTCTCGTTGAACGCAAATATATATATATATTTTCAATTCATGATATTTATGGAATATATAATTTACAGATTTCTTTTCATATATTGCAAAGCTAACAAGGCTTTAACAAACAGGTATACTTTGTATGGTAAGTAAATGATTAAACAAAATGTTCAGTATGGCAAGCTTACTTACTTTTAAGCATAAAAGAGGCATCACATATACTTGATTAGATATCTCTTAAAGTTGTTCAAATATATTTAGTAATTTATGAGATATATATATATATATATATAAATATAATATAAACACAATTCATGTTTTTTTTTACATATAATTATGAACATTTACATTCAGATATCTGTAATTAACTTTAAAAACAAAATCAGGATATCTTTAGTTCTTTGATAGATTGCATTTATATATATCTCTATGACAAGATCAAATTATTTATCTTTTTTATTCGTTTTAAATATATCAATTTTATTTAATATATCTGCTTCATTTTAACACAATTAAAGATAGGGGAGATAGGGGTTAGTCCGTCTGTCCCTGATGTTTTTGGTCTGAAGCAAATATTTACAACTTTGATGAGCGTACCATTGAAATGGTGGGGAAAACTCGATTATTAAATTACTTAAAGGGAGAAAGTTACTTTTGGGAGGATAGAAAGAAAATCATGACTTCATATTTTCCTAGTTTTGCGAATTTTATGTCACACACTAGACTGGCTACCAGCCCCTTAGTTTTTATAAAGGGTTTCATGGCTGCATTTTACTACTAGCTTATCTCCCCCTAGTTTAGAACTTAGAATCAGACATTTTCTAAATGTTCTAGAGGCGGGTACCAGTCTAGTCATCACGTATGTTACATATGCACTGACAGCTTAATGTGATGGTACTGTATACATAAAAAGCATTGCATTGACTTTCGTATTGCTGTAATATACGAATTTATTGAAATATCAATTTGGTGAATAGTTCGAACCACCCAACACATGGAAAGTCGTGACATTGACGGGAAAATATGACGTTGAAGGTTTTATGACGTCATAACTATGCTGATTCCAACGTGGGCCAATCTACACCAGACTGCCTGCCCGAACCTGCCCAAAGGCGGGGCACATTCGGCCATCCAATATTTCGACAGAAAAAGATAACTGATTCTTCAAATACGGATGTGTTTGCCTTTTGTTGTATTTGTATGAAAGGCGTGGCATTTCTCTTCCAAGTTCTATATATGTAAATTCTTTTTTAACAAATGTCACACTGTCCAGAACGACTTTAATGGAAATGGGTTGAATTTATCCCCAGTCTCCATTACCTCTATTACATTTACAAAGTAGTATGATATTTCTTTTAATCAGTCACTAATTCGTTTAAAGACATTTTTAGATATGATTTGAAGATAGTTTTAGCAAATTTAAAGATTATGAATCATTAAATTCAAAAATTATTCTTTTTCATTTTAAGATAGGCCTATCATTTGGCCAATCTACACCAGACTGCCTGCATGCCCGAACCTACCCAAAGGCGGGGCATATTCGGCCATCCAATTCTTCAAATACGGATGTGTTTGCCTTTTGTTGTATTTGTATGAAAGGCGTGGCATTTCTCTTCCAAGTTCTATATATGTAAATTCTTTTTTAACAAATGTCACACTGTCCAGAACGACTTTAATGGAAATGGGTCGAACTTATCCCCAGTCTCCACTACCTCTATAACATTTACAAAGTAGTATGATATTTCTTTTAATTAGTCACTAATTCGTTTAAAGACAGTTTTAGATATGATTTGAAGATAGTTTTAGCAAATTTAAAGATTATAAATCATTAAATTCAAAAATTATTCTTATTCCTTTTAAGATAGGCCTATCATTGGAACATATCTCTGTTACATTGGTACAAATGTATATACATTTTGAGTTAAGCTGGCTAACCGTAATTCAGTCGATATAAAGTACCATTTGATATTTGTAGACAGAATACTCCGTCACTATCAGGAGTTCCATTTACTATTTATAGACAGAATAGTCCGTTACAATGAGGAGTTCCACTTACTATTTATAGACGCAATAGTCCGTCACTTTAAGGAGTTCCACTTTCTATTTATAGACAGATCACTAGAATAGTCCGTCACTAGCAGGAGTTCCACTTACTATTTATAGACAGAATAGTCCGTCACTACCCGGAGTTCCACTTATTATTTATTTACAGAATAGTTCGTCACTATGAGGAGTTCAACTTACTATTTATAGACAGAATAGTCCGTCACTATCAGGAGTTCCATTTACTATTTATAGACAGAATAGTCCGTTCCACTTACTATTTATAGACAGAATAGTCCGTCACAATGAGGAGCTCCACCCATTATTTATAGACGCAATAGTCCGTCACTATGAGAAGTTCCATTTACTATTTATAGACAGAATAGTCCGTCACTATCAGGAGTTCCATTTACTATTTATAGATAGAATAGTCCGTCACAATGAGGAGTTCCACTTACTATTTATGAACGCAATATTCCGTCACTTTAAGGAGTTCCACATTCTATTTATAGACAGAATAGTCAGTCACTAGCAGGAGTTCCACTTACTATTTATAGACAGAATAGTCCGTCACTACCCGGAGTTCCACTTACTATTTATATACAGAATAGTTCGTCACTATGAGAAGTTCCACTTACTATTAATAGACAGAATAGTTCGTCACTACCCGAAGTTCCACCTACTATTTATAGATGGAATAGTCCGTCTCTACTCGGAGTTCCACTTACTATTGACAGACAGAATAGTCCGTCTCTACTCAGAGTTCCACTTACTATTGACAGACAGAATAGTCCGTCTCTACCAGGAGTTCCACTTACTATTTATATACAGAATAGTCCGTCACTATCAGAAGTTCCACTTGGTGGTTTACGACGCTCCGTTTGACGATATGATGGCTTGAACCGATATAAGGGACATCGCTTGTGACTTCATCCAAAGTGACGTCATCTAGTCTGACATTGTCTAACGCGACATCATCCAAAGTAACGTTTTTCGTTTTCCTAAGCGCGGTACCATCTTCTTTGCCTAAAGCAAAACAGTGTAAACAAACAAAAAATGAATAGCCTTTATCAGAAGCCAAAGTAAGTCCAAAACAGACATATACGTCATCTTGAAAAGAATGCAAATTTATCGTAATCTCTATCACTAAAAGATATTGAAACGTGTACTGAATTGGCAGAACTTGTCATCAAATACCTACAATCTTCACTGACTTTATTAGTAATTATGAGTTAGCTTTGGGTTTATTTCGTGATAGCAACGTGGTAATTAAACCGGATGTTTATGTGTTGATTTAAGGATAGTGACGCGGTAATTAAACCGGATTTCTATGTGTTTATTTTGGGTAGTGACGCGGTGGGAATTAAATAGGATGTTTATGTGTTTATTTTGGGATAGTGACGCGGTAATTAAACCGGTTGTTTGTGTGTTAATTATGGGATAGTGACGCGGTAATTAAACCGGATGTTTATGTGTTAATTTTGGGATAGTGACTCGGTAATTAAACCGGTTGTTTGTGTGTTAATTATGGAATAGTGACGCGGTAATTAAACAGGAGGGTTATGTATTAATTTTGGGATATTGACGCGGTAATTAAACAGGAGGGTTATTTGTTAATTTATGCAGAGTTATTCGATAATTACGTTATAGCTTAGTCTTTATTTCGTGATACTCATAATTTATATTAACAAAAATTAAATAGCATTTTTGTTAATAACGACATCTCTAGATCATACTTGTAACATCACATTTATAGTTAAGTATGTGTAATCGTTATTACGTTTGTTGGAGTTTTACGTCCTTTTAACAGCTATGGTCATTTAAGGACGTGTCAGGTTTTGGTAGTGGAGGAAAGCCGGAGTTTCCGAAGTAAAACCGCTGATCTACGGCCAGTACCTGGCGAAAGCCCCACGTAGGTCTCGAACCCGCGACCCGGTGTTGGAGGGCTAGTGGTAGCAGATTGTAAGCCGCCTTGACCACGTGCACTTGGCCACCGCCGACCTATTTACGGATGTAACTGGCAATTACGAGATAACTATCAATGGTAAATACAATGTTTTAGACGTGGTAGTCGCATGATAAACATTGCTGATGAATGACATAAGAAAATAGAAACATGAATTTAGTCATGGTAATGTATAACAGCTATGGTCCTGGCGAAGCGTGGTAAACTGGCGAAGCGTGGTAATCTGACAACAATTGCTACCCATATCGGGACACGCTGACCCTTTGATGTATCCGTGGTCCGTGTCCAGTGTAGAACGACCTCCCGTAGGTCAAGTCAATAGAGACGTGACAGTACATCTGAATTTATGCATTTTTATGATATTATACTTAAATATATTTTATTTTTTGTTCGTGATATTTTTCATAAATATTTTGACAGACCGCCCATTTGAGTATAAAAAACAGATTGAGAAATGAAAAATACATATGGCTGTTGATATGTAACCAACCGGGAACCGTCGACACTTTCCGTAAAAAGAAAATACTTTCACGTTTACGGAAAGTGCCGAAGGTTCCTGATTAGATTGTGATATACTCCTCTTTTCCAGAGGTATTCTAGATTAGGTGAACTATCTAAATAAAAATACTTATCAAGTTAACTTGGTATACAACTTTGACATACACGATTCCTTGTAGACAGGTTTTTACTCTATTATTTTCTTGTCTATGGACTAAAGCAAGACTCATTTATGTTGATATATGGTCAGGAACCTATATACTTGCTCAAGTTAATAAATAGATAGGAAAATAAGTGACAATCTGAATTCTAATTCTATGCTTATTACAAGCTTTTTAAGGAAAATAACATGATGAATATTGCATAAATAAATGCACAGTTTTCCACTGGACATTATATTTCAACACAAATCGACGAACTTCCGGTTCCGGTTCCGGAAGATAAGATATGTAATTGCCCTCAAGATTATACAATGTCCTCCAGAACAACAAGAATATAAGAAACGGTTAGGGTTTGCGTTGCAATGAAATACTACCTTCTGGAATAGGATCAGTGAAGGAAACTGCCTTTGTTTTGGGCTTGCGCAGGCGGAAGTCGAACACATGTGAATCTGAATTGGTTCCGGACGACCTTTCCACGAAGTATTGCACGCCCCTGATCGTAACTGTACCATGCTGCAAAATAATAAACTGTTCATTAAAACTTTGATATTTATACAATGTAAAATGTAGAATGGGGACTGGTAGGGGACGGGAAAGGGAACATTAGTCGCCTCCTACGATCATGCAGTGCAGTGAAAGCTTGTCTAAATTATTTGTTGACGATACTTCTTTATTATGTTCTGATGCATCTCCCAAAAGTATCGAAAGCATGATTAATAACGACAAGGAAAAAATTCAAAATAGAGTGGATATTTGGCTGGTGAAAGTCAACACTGCAAAAACGAAAGCTTTATTGATCTCTAACTTTGAACTCGAATATGTTATCGATTTGAAATTTAATAACGTAATTGTTGATTTTGTTGGCAATCATAGGCACCTGGGAGTAATTTTGGATGGAAATTGTAAGTGGAATACCAATATTGAATGTTTAGCGTTTTACGTAAATTGAAAATTATTTTGAGTAGAGGTACTTTAAGTAATTTTTTTAGATCATACATTCTTCCTCTATTAGAATACTGTTGTGAAGTATGGGATGGGTGCGCTCTCGGTGACGCAGACAAATTAGAAAAAAAAAGAGAATCATTGTATTTTGAAACTGGTATAGAAACTTTATCTGAACGTAAATTACAACTGTTTTACAAAATTCATAAGAATCTTACAATAACTAACTTACATGTACCTCTTTACTTCCCCCTACAGTTTCAGAAAACACACACTATAACCTCAGTATTGCTGAACATTTCTGTTTACCTAATTCTCGATATAATTAACAAATTTGTCATTTTCTCCCTCCACAATCCGACTCTGTAACCAGTTAAACCTTGATATAAAACAAGGCGTTTCATATACAGTTTTTAAAGGCACCCTTCGTAGGCTAAATACAGTACAAGTTCGTTTATGTTAATTTATACATGGTCGAAAAAGTAATTTTTGACACAACAGATTGAGAAATAACCCAGTGCCCCAAAACAATCACTTACTTCTTGCTAATCTAATAGATTGTCCAGCACTGTCAATGTGGACATCCTATCAAAGATACGTATCCCTTTTTTTTATTTGTAATAATAATGCGGATCAGATAACAGAATAATTTCATTCCACTTGACTTGCAGCTACTATATACGGTAATAAGGAATTGTTCAATCAAGAAAAAAATCCAATTTATTTCAGATACTAACAGATTTTGGGTATATTTTCTTGCACTCCTTCATGTTTACCAACTAAACCAATTACAGTTCTCTTTCTCTTATAAATCTGACTCTTTAATGTTAATGAGTGCTAGTATATATAGATATCTATTATATATATATATCGAAATAAGGCCATCTCTGTGCAAACGGACCTGTGGAGACGGAAGTACCAGCAAGAACTGAATGCACAGGAGAAAGCTACAAGGCATGGGATGTAATGAACATGTAAATAGCAGAAAATTGAGAATAGTTAAAACACATATATGTTATATACCATCTTGAAACTTTGTATCAATACATTGTAGGGAAAGGGTTTAATATAAGTTCTTAAAATTGTGCCCAACTCCCATCAGTTACAATTCAACAAAATAAAACAAAATACAGCAGGTCTATTGTTTGTGTTGTAATGTATCACCATATACCTAAATTAACCTTTACTTTAGGTCTCTGGTATCACATAACCGTGCTGATGGTCTGTTAAGACTTAATGATTAAGAGGCTCAATGCTAGTTAACGCTGTATCAAGAACAGAAACTCACCATATTTGCCAGTCCTTCGTCGGTGTATTCGACAATGAAGGCAGCACCGTGAGCAAAGTCTTGGTAGAATGCAGTTCGCTTAAAGAAAACAACACAGACGTTAAAAATGTAATTCAAGCATCGACGTAGACGTAAAATACCACAATGCTAGTCAATATGTATAGTTAAAAATAATTATGACACAAAGAAGGCGTATTGTTTTATATTGTTTTTAGAATTGCATCTGTGTATATTGAGATGTGACGTAACGCATTGGCCATTATGTATATAACCGTTGGTAACGTCGTTCACTTTGATAAGATCGTAGGGATGATGTTTAGACTTGACAAACAACAACCACTTCCCGGCGGATTAACTAGTATACATATTGATGCTACGCAGTTTCATTCACATAGTTCTTTGAACTAACTTACGTTGGCAGGGGGAAGCGTTTCCATGACAACTCTATTTCCACGAATGACGTAGACAGGCATGTTCTCATCAACTCCATAGTTACGTTTTAAAGAAAGGCTGATTGACGTGTTCGCTGCGTCAAAATTTACTTCGAGGGCGTCCGGATTTGACGTCGAACCACCGGGTGATCTTTTAAAGCGTCCTACGTCATTAAATTGTAACGTCACCAGTTCTGAAAAGGGAGATGAGCAGAATAAGTATCGTTATAGACATTAGAAGAGAGGTACACTGTGTTGCCAACCGTAGATTTTTACGACGCCAGGCTTCGCCTCAACAAATCCTGCCATTTTGATTGGAGGCCATTTATATCTTAATCGGGGATATTCCTTTACGAGATGACGTCTGGTAATTTTCGTGCAGAAAGTCAAACTTCTATTTCTTACAATCATTCCTATTTCTATTTACTTCATCTTGTATTGGTCACTTCTACACAGCATTGTTATTGCGCTAAATGAAAAACAATTCTACATACTGCTGTTTTTGTACTGACTATTTAAATCAATAACGCTTGTTTCAAACAGTCAGGAGCTCGACGTCGTGTCCGCTACCTTCAGACTCATCATCAACGATGACACCCGTTGTTTGACAAGGCAGTATAAGAAATTATCAACTTTGAAAGAAAATGTTTCCGAATAGATTTCAATAATGGCTCATCTCAATGTGAACAAAGGGAAACTCCTTAGCTCAAACCAAACACATGTAATAGCCTCATCTGTCAACAATGATAATAATTATAATGATAGTTGGAGGTTCTTATATTATTCAATTATAGCCTTTGGATGAGGTCGATACCTGGATTTATCAACCCGAGAAAAGATATTTATTAACAGAGGACGTTATCGACCCGAGAAAAGATAGCGTCCTCTGTCAATATATCTTTTCTCGGGTCGATAAATCCAGGTATTAACCGAAGTCAAAGGCTACAATTGTTTTATTTTTTTCAAAACAGTAATGTTAGCAATCTGAAAAAATACAGCAGAAAGCTACGGAAGCGGGATGATAAGTTCGTTTGGAGACACGTCATTATTCTATTTTTAGAAACACCCAGTCCTTCAACAAAAATCACGCGTTCCAGGTCAATATCGGTTTTGTCGGTGGACACGTGATTCACTTCTGGCCAATCACTTGTCGGGAATTATATGAAAAAATAATCACAGCCTCGTTCGTAGGTCTTCTCAAAGCGGTTCACAAATGACTATACTTGGTTATAGGGCCTATGCAACCAGCCAATATCTTTCTCAACTCTCTGGTGAGCATACAGCCGGAGCTGCCATTTCAGCGCTCACAGCTAGCATTCAACAATTGTAGCACTGCCCAACCACGTACTCATTCACAGCAGAGTAAACTGGAACAGATACAACACAGTGCCGTGACTCGAACCCGCAACCATTCGGTCACGAGCCCGGCGTCCTACCACTAGAGTATCATGCCTTCTAAATAATACTATGGCTTTAATGATAGACGAGACTAATACCTGCGAAACTAAACTTCGTTAACTGAATTGACCAGTTACTTGGTCAGGATCCTGACCAAGATCGCGGCCTTTATCTTTCTTAGTATCAAAAAGCACAGCATCAAGAGTTGGTACAAAGGCAGAAAATCCAGTCCTGTCTAAGAAGTAAGTTTAAACAACCAAACATATATGTGTCCGAGGACCGTGTGTGTTTTACGTCATCATTTAAGAGGTACAATTCTGTACACGTTTCACAAACAAGGCAAAAAAGATATAAATATATGAGGACCATAGCGTATACCCGTATTATGACAAAATCATTTTATTTCTTTCGTTAAGCAGCGCTATTAACCATCTAAATAGCATTTGGATACAAATATATGATTTATGGTTTTGTAATATTCACCAACCAAATTCGTTACGTTTTTAGTCACGACTTCCATTTTAGTTTTCCCGATCAAAATCATACCCCAAATCAGCTCAATCGTACTGTTGGAACTTTTATTGTCAAATATGTAAACTTTATGTTGTTCATATCGACTGTACAAGTAAAGAATATGTGAGTCCTGAGACACAAGTGGAATTTCCTGTATCCACACAAAGAAACCACATGAACCTGATACAGCTTACAACCAATCGAAGTAACATTTATTTTGAAACGTATTAAAATAAGTCTGTGATCACCTATTGTACTGATCATGTTTCATATAGAAATTGAAATTATTGACAACAAGAGAAAAACTTCGATAATATATTAAAATACCAGTAATATTGCCTAAAATCTGCAGGAAGCCAAATAGAAAACATCAACTTATGATTATGTTCATATAATATGACCGGTTAACATTTTTGATTATGTTCATTAAAGAGCCTTGTGGTTTTTCGAGGACGGGGACATTACTTGGATGTGACCTAGAATTATGGCGGGTTTCGTCAATGAAGCAGAGACGCTTCCGGAACACCAGGTCTTATTCTCCGTGATTTTGTTCAATGGTTTCTAAATAAATCTTTCCTTTGTTGATATAATGACTTAACTTTATCGATTTTGAGTTTAATATATGGTTTTATTAGCACTCGGGTGTTATCTTGTGTTTTTATATGATTTCAAAAAAACAAACTATTTTCAAATCTTCACTTTTCGAATTTTAGATTAAATCGAAATCATTTAACTCCACACTATTGTCAGTTTAAACGAATTGGCAATTTTTATATCATACGAAAGATATGGAAACAGAAGTGTATATTATGAGACTCAAATAAGGTTTAGGATATATAGGGTCCGTGTTACACATATTTTAACTATAAACCTTTATCCGAACAGCGCATTTGCGGAAAGGCAGGTTAGCTTTACAAATATCAACACAAACATTTTATGTAGAATATTTTTTAAGCAGCTGGTATTCTTGACAACTTTACTGGTGCTTAGATAATAGAAATTGTAAGTTCAGTATAACAAATGTGAAAGTATTTATATATTGGAAATATATTTCAGTAAACTAATGCTTTGACAATATTAAAGACAGTATTACAAAGCTAACGATACTTTGTCATTAAGTTGAATCTGAAAATGATCATCACCGACAATGATTGACTGCAATATATCCGCTCTGTTTTTCGCCCTGTTAAACAGACTACGGGAAACACCAATATCAATAAATTCTACACTTACATAATAAAAACTCATTATTTTCTTTTATAACTGTTTATCGTTCGATCGTCAACTTTCGATCAAAGTCAGTTCATTTGAATATGTAAACAAATCGTTACAACTCGATTTCGATTCAACAATTTTATAAAATTCCATAGAAAAATAAATAAGAATACACCTGTTTTTAAAGTGACAAAACAGCAATCCCGTTTCAATGCACGCCTGACTGGGGAGTTTGAAAAGTCAGCATAAATGTCCCTAGTAAGAATACAACATTATCGACGCGGTATATATGTCGCGGGGTGTGTATCAGACCCATGTCTATAAAATACTGCCAAATGTGTAAATCTATTTCCTGGTGTTGACAGTATCAGTAAGTTGATCCCATGAGAGTTTATGCGACTGATGAAGGGAAGGAACCCGAATTTTCAAAAAGTATCATTTAAACACTGTATGAAATTTCCAAATGAAGTGTATTCGCTGTCTTTACCTGCGAGATAGTTTTTTTTTATTGCATCACAAAACCTCAACACTCCGATCAATCGTCTCAAGCTTAATTATAATTGCAGCTGAAAACTGCTTTTATATTAATTAGTTGAACAGTTTGTGTCAAATTTTTTCCATCTAAAATATTAATATCTTCAACGGAATAACTTGTAATTGATAGCAAGTAATCAATAATCTGAAATCTATAGCCTGAAATCTATAGCTTCAGTTACAATTGTATACAACTTCAGATTTAGCTTGTAATCGATAACTCGAAAATTGAAAACTTGTAATCAACAACTCTAAAATTGGAAACCTTGTAATCAATAAAGTAAAACCGATTACTTAAAATCGACAATTCAAAATCAATCATTCGAAATCAATTACTTGAAATCAACTAATCGGAATTGAGGTCATGTCCTACGATCACTACAACATAAAATGACGTCATAAAAACTTAATACCTTTATAACTGTACGACTAAATGTAAAACCATTATCAAGGTCTTCGCGGTAATCGTAGTATGGTCAAAGGTTACTAAATCAGTGACATGCTGATCCGATTCTGCTAAAATATGTTTAAAAACGTCTGTTGATAATTTGAGATATCGATTCTTCTTCAAAACAAATGATCAAAGTCTTCCATAAAAAATACCGAAGAATAATTTTGTCTTCTGAAATGATATGAAAATATGCCTGGCCCAGAGGGAATAATATCTAGTCATACTCTTAGATTAAAACTTTCAAATTAGCTTGAAACAATTAAGTACTAACTGTCTTGTTATTAGTAAATATAACTCGCAAGTAGCAAGTTATTTTGAAAAAAAAAAATCAAGAAAGAAATAGCAATATTTGAAGGGATTTCTTGAATGATTAAGAGTATTAACGAAGCGAGAAGTAATATATAAAGTAGTTAGATTACGAAAAGATAATCTTTTTTTCGGTACGACCTATACAGAGTAAAGTTTGTATAAGTTATAGCGGCAGATTAAATCGACTTACCTTCAGTTTCATATTCAAACTTTCCTTCAAATAGGATTGCATTAGTATGTAAAACCCCAACATGTAATAAGGCCGTGATCCAGGCGAGGAAGAAACCACACATGGTTAGTACCGGGTAGCTATACAGTGTCCATCATTTCATTCCTCGCCATCAGTTTTATACTATTCTAAAAATTTCCGGTTGACAGGTTACATGAATAAATTACTGGATGTTGATGGGTCAGAGAAGACACTACCCAGAGTTCTAGCATTAACATATATTAGCTAGTGTGTACATGGGGCACAGGCGTGCTTCAAAGGTAACATTTAAATCTATACGTGTGTTTACTGTACCCGGGACCTTTATGTACCAGGTGGAACACAGGCGTTCTACTATGGCATTTATTATGGGTGCAACGTGGTCCTTCCTTTTGAATAAGACGATATTCACACTTATTGCACTTANCCCCCCCCCCCCCCCCCCCCCTTCTCGTGCTTGCTGTTTCCGGGACCTACATGTACTGACAGGGGTACCAGGTGGAACAAGGGTGTTCGTCCTAGGCAATATTTATTGCTTATAGACATGGGTGCAACGCGGTTCCTCATTTTTAAATAGACGAGATACACACTTTTAATTTTACATAGATAATTGAACCCCCTGTGCTTGCTGTACCCGGGACATAATGTTCTGACAGGGGTACCAAGTGGAACAAAGGCGCTCTACATAGGTGACATATATGGCTTAAATATGAGGGAAAGCAGAAGCACTCGCTTCGTATCTCTCACTAAAATCGGTTTCGTGATTAGTTAGTTTCTACTTCTTCCGGATACTTTTGTCTGCCGACTTTACTTCCGGTGTTCGTTATGCAGCACTGCATTTTTGATCGATTACCTTAGTAATTGACTTTCTGCCCTCACCCTACTCCTCTCCACCTTAAAAAATCAAGGGAGTGCAATAGCTTTCGGGTTATATGACTAGCTTTCGGGTTATACTATCTTTCAGCGCGGTCTGTTTCGTGATTAGTTTTCATGTAGTTAACAAAGGAATGATAGCCGATTACTTTGTCATGGACCTAGTACAAAACTACGTATATTAGGGAGATCGCCAACTGGACCCTGTCGATAGGTCGGCCCGTATTCATGAGACCGTTCTAATGCCGCTTCGAACTTAAATTTTGCGTTCAAGCCTAAATTCTTGATCCAGTGATAAATCAATATAATACTGCACATTTTGACTATGATTTAAGATAATTAAGGATTAAGGGGAGAATTAAAGCAAAATATTTACATTTGCACTGCATAGGGCCTAGATAACTCTACTGGTCCCATTGTAACATATTTTCCATTGAACTACAACGGGGATTAGGTCAGTGTAGTGATACACTGACCTAATTACCGCCAAGTGGCGATGTTCCGCTGTGTTGTGTCTTAAAATGTTATTGTATGACAGTTAAATCGCTAAATGACCACAACATATATTAAATGGTCACATGTTAGTATACAAATTGGTAATTTACATATATGCATTTAAATAAATAAAAATCTATTATCAAATTGATGTGTTTACTGTGGAACTTTCTTGTTTATTGTTTTTGTCGGCCTGGTTGCCCTTGACAACGACTGTGGAATGCTTTCACCGAAATTCTTCAAAATTATTGAGACAATGTTGATTTTTATTAGTTTATCATCGGAACAAAAAATTGGCCCGGCCACTGAATGTGAGTTTGAGCATAAAAAACAGCTTCATAGATACGAGCCCAGATACAAACAAGAAAAAGAACCCAGCCAATTTGTATACACGTTACAATGTATTTAGAAATATGCAGTTAACAATTTGTTTTAATTTCATTTTTTTAAGTTATTGTTTCGATATTTTTAAACATATTTATACATTATAAAGAATAAGTTCTGTGAAAACTACTACATGTACACAAAAAGACATGCACTGCTGGCGGTTTAGGCAAAAACTAGCACCATGGAACCAAAACAAAGTTAAAGACATTGAAACGATTGAGAAGGTTCAGCGAAGGGCAACGAAACTAGTACGTGGACTGAAGGATCTTTCCTACAGCGACCGTCTTAAGAAATAAGGAATCCCAACATTGACATACAGAAGAAGGAGGGGAGATATAATTAACGTCTATGAAATTTTGAACAATTTTCACGAGGCAAAATCCATTGACAAATCAGAGCGTAGTATGCTAATTAACTATGCATGGATTCGCTCAACTTCGAACTTATCGTCTAAGTTTGTATATTGATCAAAACATTTTCAAGCAAGTTATCTTGTAAAGTATGGACATTGACCAAAGTATGCATGCTTCTTGATGTATGAATATTTTTCAAGTTTCAAAATGCATCAGGTTGTGTATAATGTTTATACACAACCTGATTTTCATTAAAACTGGACAATATGTAAGGATGTTAACTTGCTGAAACCAAACTGTGGACAGACAAATGGATGACTGCTACCCATACCTTAACATGTCTGCCAAATTTTTTGAAAAGTTTTTAAATACAGTGTATCACATATCCACTACAGTGAAAAGGTCTCTTATGAATTTTTTATTTGTTTTTGCATCAGTGTTCCTATGAGCAAATTAGATAAAAAAAAACAACAACAACACCACTCTAATAAAATCTGATACATTGTTTCAATATTGAATAAGATAAATAAAATATAAGCATACATACTCACACACACAAACACACACACAAAATTAAGAGAGTTACATTATTTTCCCTCTATTTCCATTGCATAAATTCTTCACAAAAATTAAAAAAATGTATAACATATGTTAAGCTTTATTTATATAGGCCAGCGTTTGAAATAAGATTAACATATCAATTTCAAATATATTTTAAAAGATTACTGCAACTGTACATGTACCAGCTAGAGAATATACCAAGTCTTTACGGTTGGCATTATTGTTGGTTTCAGAACTGATAGCATAGTGCAACAAATGTTGACAACAAGACATATTGAAAGTTGAGGCTACACGTGTATATGCAAACAGATTTGATTTTCAAAATGATGGAGCAAGTGTTATGAAACTTTGTTTGAATGCTTTGTTAGGAAAGCACTGACAATTTCTCCGTCATGTACAGGTTGTTTAGCAGTAGCCTTCACCTTAAATGCATGAACTTGACCTTAAAACTGTCTTGAACAATTGATGTATGGAATTATGAAATGAAGTTTCAAGAAATATGGTTGAAAACTTTAGAAATAATTGCTTTCAATGACATAGCCAAGACACAATCTTGTGTGGGATTCCTCTCATATATCACATGAGTTTTGATATCAAAAGTTGAACACGGTAGAATCGAGTATAACTAACAAACATCAAGTTACATATTATAATTTGTTTTTCGATTTTATTGATATTGCGCATACGGTATACCAGGGATCTTATATTTCTTTTACTGCTTACATTTGCATTGACTTTTAATTCACTGGACAGAAACTAGTAGGAAGCCACGGCCAGTATTTCAAAAACATATTTTTTATGTTTTTCAAATTTGCCCCCACCACCCATAGTGTTATATTGATCAAAACCAACGTTGTTTCCGACATAAGTGCGTTTTAGTCAGTAGGAGCTGTTCAGTCGCATTCACCAGGCTTTCAGCATCAATATTCACGGATTAAATTCGTCTCAAGTAAAAAGAGATAAAATGGTTTAGCTTTGTAAAATGAAGTCAGAGGTTCCTCCTTTATACAGTAACTGTCAGCCTTCAAAATGGCATGTCAGTCACTGTTTGTACATTTCTTGCAGCCTTTTAAGAAAACGTTCATGAAGTCCTCAAATGTATGAAAGAGGGGGTTCAGTTCCTCCTTACTCCCATCAATAACCATCCCTGTCTATTGTAATATTGGTTGCCTTTCAGCTTCAATTACCCCCCTAAAACAGAATATAGTCACCGTATAATTTCTGCACCAGCATTGTTAATGTTTAAAGACAATATTTAAACACACGCACTCATATATTCACTGGTTTTCATTCTCCAATACAAAAGACGAAGCAGCATATAGCTTTTCTTCATCCATTGGCATATTATCATGAGTGAAAATGAACTATATCCCTTGTTGCCAAGTTAATAATAGAATTAAGAATTGTTGTGTTATACATTTATTGCTATATTTTCCGATTTTGCTAAAAGGAACACACATTTTGATTGTGTTAAGCTCATCATATCATTGTTATGTTTGAAACCTCACGCATACACTATCTTACAATGACATCACAATCCACCTCATATTTCAATCACCCTTCCCTGGGTGTTTCCAGAAAAAAAATGAACCAGGAAACATGGAGATGTCCGTTGCACTCCTTTGTTTTGGTGGATGCTTAAGGACTTTATCTGTAGTTTTGGGGACTATATAGAACAAGAGGCTGAGAGGGACTGTATCGCTCACCTGAATATGTTTAAAATAATTGGTATGAAGTAAAGATATAGCACTCCATAGTAGATGCTGTAAGTACATATGAAATTTCAGAAAGATCCATCCAGTACTTGAGATATAGCGAAAACAAACTTCAAACAGAGCGCAACCTCCATGCCCCAAGGGGGGGGGGTCATACCCAATAATTATACAAAATTGAGACCCCTTGGCCAAAGGATGCTCCAGACTAAATTAGGATAAGATCCCTTAATCTCTATGGCATAAGAAGGATTTTTTAAGTTTTTTCCCCTATTGGGCCTCGCCTCTCTGCCTCCAGGGGGGTTAGACACACCGTTTATACAAAATTGGTTCCCCTTCACCCAAAGATGATTCATACCAAATTCTGTCATTCGTACAGAAGAAGAGGTATTTGAAGAATTTGCTATGTTTCCCATATTGGGTACATTCCTTCTGCCCCCAGGGGGCCACACTCGCTGTTTATACGAAATTGAGTCCCTTTTTTCCCAAGAATGCTCCGGTCCAGACTAAATTAGGATAAAATCCCTTAATCCCTATGGTAGAAGAAGGATTATTAAGGTTTTACTTCTATTTCCCCTATTGGGCCCCGCCCCTCAGGTCCCAGGGGGCCACACCCACTGTTTATACAAAATTGGTTCCCCTTTACCCAAGGATGCCCCACACCAAATATGGACCAAATCCTTTCATTCCTACAGAAGAAGAAGGATTTTAAAG